ATTTGCATGCTCCCTTACCAGCAAACTGTATAATTGGTTGGTTATGGATAATCAGATTTAGATATAAATCAAACAGTCCGAATGAAGTGAATATTTACTTCAAATTTACTAACAGTATCTAGCTTTGAATGGGGGCCTTTGGATATCTCATACAGCTATTTTCTATTGTTAACTAAAGCATTTCTTCTTTAGACTGAAGAAAGAAACTAAATCCTTTCTTGTCTCCCTTTTTGGCATTCTTGGTCTTACAATGAAATCAATTTCACAAAAGCAGTTCTGCTTTTCCTTAAGTTCTGTTAGAGATAATTAACTTGCCTTTTGTTTTGCATATGGCATATCCACCATTTCTTAGAAAGAAAGCTATGGTCTTGGTTGCATTGTAATGTGGATTTGTATTAGTTTAAATTTGCAACAAATAATAAGCATTTTCATTGCCGTACTATCGATTTCATTATGGTATTGACATGCTAAATATATGCTTGGCACTTCTATGTTAATAGAACAGTTAAATTTGCTGTCTTGCAGGATTTTTGTTCACACTATCTGTGTCACTATAATTTATTTTGTCGTGCTTTATTCTGTTTGTGTTGGAATTTGGATTCATGTTTGAGTTCCCTCTGACAAAGCACACAACCTATGCAGGATCATAGCAAATTGACGGGGTCCTGCTCGCTCAAAAGAGAGAAAAGCACGTTACATATCTGAACTTGAGAGAAATGTCCAAACACTTCAAACTGAAGCAACTACACCTTCAGCGCAACTCACACTATTCCAGGTTTTTATTGGAATGCTCTCTGTCTTTATAATTGACATCTTAATTAGATTTACATTTTAAGGTTGTCAGTGCATCCACATATCAAGCAACAACTTTTTTGGTTATTCTTGTAAAAATCAAAAGTTTTGTATGTTTCATTGTTTCATGCTGTTCGTTATGCTTCAGTTAAGATTGTCTAATTTTCTGAAGTTGCTGTTGATTTTGGATTATTATTAGGGTTTTTCTATATGGTTTTATGACAAAAAGGTGCTCTTAACCTGTGCCATAAGAAATAACTTTTTTTTTTTTGTTCCCCCAAAGTATTATATGAGTTGTATCCTTCTCTATTTACTAAGTGTTCATGGTCTTACAGGTATTCTGTTCTCTTTTAGAGAGATACAACAGACCTCTCATCTGGGAACACAGAGCTTAAGTTCGGTTACAAGCTATGGAACAACAAGCTCAGCTACGTGATGGTATGTCTTATCTTTCTGAAATAACATCTTTCTTCAAAGTGTTTACCCGGCATGTGAAGCAATATGTTAATATGTTCACTTGCCAAGTGAGCAACGTATGTTCTCTGATCAGCAGTATGAAAGTAATTAAGTGGTTTGGATTTGGACATGTTTTTGGACATGCTTAATGATTATCCAAGCTGCTTGTGGAATTGTAGATATATTTTGCTGTTATATTACATGTTCAACACATTCATCCATCACATGTACCATGGGAAGTTGTTAATTCTTGTATTACCATTTTTGATATACAGCTCTAAATGAAGCACTAAAGAAGGAAGTTGAGAGGCTTAAGATGGCAACCGGAGAAATTATGACACCAACAGATAGTTATACTTTGGGAATGCACCATATCCCATACAGCCAACCTGCCTACTTTCCTCCTCATCCACAGCATGCACAATCTGATGCTCAGAACATGCAAATACCACAGTTTCCTCCATTTCAACCTAATATGTTAGCTCCTAATCAACCTCTGGTTGCCACACCTCAATCACATGCTTTCTCGGAGATGATGCAGCAGGATCCTCTCGGCCGATTGCAGGGGCTTGATATCAGTAGCAGAGGCAGCCGTATTTTGAAATCTGAATGCCCGTCAATTTCTGCCAGTGAAAGCAGCGCAACCTTTTGATAAAAACATTTGCTAATCTGCTTGTTGCTCCATCCTATATGTTGAATTTGTTCATAGACTAACCTAATTGACATCAAGAGCAACTATTCATTTGATTTTTTTTCCCCCCATCTGGAATTCGGGATTCATATTTTAGGAGCAACCATGTGGGAAAAGGAGTTTGTTTGTGAGGTGTAGGTTAGTGCAATTCTTTTTTACGTTAAGCCTCATGTTGTATTGTCTGTCTGTATTTTAGCTTGTATTATTGGGGAAAAGTATTGTTATGGTAATTATTTATTCAGCAATACTCTCTCTCTTTCTCTCTCTCCTGTTGATTTATACTGTCTCCCACCAGACGCGAGCACGCAATTACAAACGCACAGCTGGCTGCATGCCTGTGCTAGCTTCTTATAGGGCCTCTGGCTTCCATTCCAGCTCCCATATTGCTAAGGCACAGAGACATCTTCGTGAATGGCAGGGAGGGGGGCTGGTGTTAAAAGGGGACTGTATATATGCAGTAACCTTTACTGGGAACCCCAAATAAACATACACTCTGATCTTTTCTTACATTGAACCAAATGATTACCATGAAAATTATTACCTGGAATTGGAAATCGGAAATTGGAAACAATGATATCTCATTCAGCAAGTACACAAATCCCAGCTGGTGACACCAAAGTTAACAAAATCGGTCACCTTGTAATTAAGGATCATGGTTGGCCTACAAGTTGAGGTTCCATTAAAATGCACATGGTGGGGAAGTTGCAGACCATGGTAGCGCAATTTTGGGAAGCTCAAGTTGACTGCAATATGTGTTATGAAAATGACCATGTTATGTTACTTAAGCCCCATTTCAATGTCTGATGATGTCTCATTCATGCAAGTGGGGGCCAGCTGAGGGACAATCCCTCTTGAAGGAAAAATAATAAATATCTGTAGTTGGAAATTAAAAGAAAACATTTGCACCACACAGTTGAACAAATTGTTGATGTTGCCAAAGCCACCCAAAACAGGCAGTAAAATCCAACAACTTATTTGCTTCATAAACAGAGTTGCAAAAATAGTAAAGCAAAATGTGCATGAAATTGAAACGCTAGAAGGCCATTGCCAAAAATAATATTAAGGTTTCGTTGACAACCTTTTTTAGTGATTTAATTTTTAGTTTTATATCTTTTTACTATTTTAAAAATATATAGAATATTTATTAAAATAAATATTAAATATATTTGAGGTGTTAAAGGATTGAAAAACGTCTGCCCCCATGCAGGATCGAACTACAGACCTTCAGTTTACAAGACTGACGCTCTACCACTGAGCTATAGGGGCATCCATAGTCGTGTCCTCAAAAAAAGGTTTATCACTTAAATAACTTCCGTCAGTAATCAGGGAAAAGATGATTCAAGGCCTGTTGGTGAAACTTTTAGTAACTTCAATTTTTTTAAATTATTTATATTTTATAAGTTTAAATTGTTTTTTTTTAAATTTACATTTATAAATTTTTTTTAATTTAAAAAATATTTCAAACAATAAAAAATTAAAAACTTCAAATCTAAACTTTTTATAAATATTTTTTTATTCACTTTTTACTTACTTTTTTTATATTTAAAAATAATTTTTAAATTTCTTCTTTAATAAAAATTTAAACTTATCATTTATAAACAATAAAAAAAAGTAAAAACTCTAACAAACTCTACCAAACCATCCTTAAAGAATTCTTCGACCGAAATATTAAAATATTAAATAGATTCAGCACGTAACGTAACAGACAAAAACAACTACAACTCTTTTTTTTTTTTAATAAGACTGAAAAGAAATCATGCAATTACTGGCTTTAAAAGTCCTACGCCCAGCAAATCCCCCTCAAGGAAAGTGCTAAGTCCAGGTGGTGGATTGCTGAAAAACATGGTTTCTAGTGGCAGACTATGCCCTATAGTTCAGCCAAGAAATCAGCAGCAAAGTCTTTTTTTTTTTTAACAAGTACAACTTTTTGAGAAATAAAAAGTGGGTTGAACTCAATTTATAAGATTAGTAAATTTATTTTTAACTAAACGATTTACATAGTCAGGTGTAAAATTAGATATGAGTAAAAATGTATTCAATTGTTGTGGTTCATTGATAACCATTGTAATCTAAAAGGTTGTTGGTGGATTGTACCCTCATCAGTGGCCAAATCTTATCAAAGGTATTAACCTAATTTCTAACTCTTAACTATTGTCTTTGTCAAAAAAAAAAAAAAAAGAGTAAAAAGAGGACTAAGAAATTCTAAAAGAAAACAAAAATTTCAAATTAATTAGCAGAGAACCTTAATTATTGATTTGTAACTTTTCAATGTTGAGGTGGATATCATATTATGAGGTTATAAAGTCTGAAAGAACAAGAAGAGACTGCCACCATTACCGGAGCTTCCCATGTGCTCCTAACATGGTAGGTCCCTTCTTATAAGAACTTGGAAAATTTTCCAGTTGAACATCAGAAAAAGAATGTTAAAATGACTTCCTTTATACTAGGTACAACTTATCTCCCATTCCCATCCCACGTATGCCTAATAATTATCATCACGAACCAGAACCTGATGCTCTCCCGCTTCAGCTTACCAAGTTGGACCTGAACAAGTAGTTATTATTTAGTAGGTAGAGTATATTCCTGCGTTTAAACTTACAAAAAAATGTTTGGATGGTAAGGGAAATTTTTTTCTTAGCGGTTGGTACTCAATTAATTTTTTAAAAAGGGCAGGAAGGAAGGTAGCTAGGAACACTTGCATGTGCACACCTGGATCTTCATTCAAATGGGAAATCAGATTTCGTGATCTCTCGCCCAACCCAACGTGACTCTTGCCATCTTGTCTCTTGTAGCTAAACAAGTCACATCTAACCTAAACTTTCCATATTCTATATATTACTAAACTCCCATCCCAACGTAATGTATCTAGTATCCAGTATCCAGCATCCAGCAGCAATATCAAGTATCAACCCTTTGCTGCAATATATTTACATCCCTCTCTCTCATCTCTCCCACCCACATCCAATTAATTATTAATTAATTCAATGGCCGGCATTGCATCATCAGTTTCCCTAATTTCTCTTCTAGTTTTTCTTTTCAACTTATGGGTGCAGGGCATTTATGCTGACTCTGGATGGCAAACTGGCCATGCCACTTTCTATGGTGGCGGTGATGCTTCTGGCACAATGGGTGTGACTACTTTTTGCTTATAATTTGTTTTTCAAATTATATATATATATGTACCTACTCTTTAATTACCTTAATTTTGGCTGCCCTGGGGTTCTCATATTTTGAAGTGTGTTGGGATGCAGGAGGGGCATGTGGATATGGCAATCTGTATAGCCAAGGCTATGGGACTAACACTGCAGCTCTCAGCACTGCTCTCTTTAACAATGGCTTGAGCTGTGGAGCTTGCTATGAAATGAGATGCACCAATGACCCCAGATGGTGTCGCCCTGGATCCATTGTCGTCACTGCTACTAACTTCTGCCCACCCAACTCTGCTCTCTCCAACAGCAATGGGGGCTGGTGCAATCCTCCCCTCCAACACTTTGACATGGCCGAACCTGCCTTCCTGCAAATTGCTGAATACCGGGCCGGAATTGTCCCCATTTCTTTTAGGAGGTAAACATAATAAATATCTATTATATTTATATAAAATTTTAATTATTAAAAATAAAAAAATAAATAATTATAATTTTATATAAATAAAATATATAAACTTGTTTGAGAATATATTCTTCCTCGTATATATATATATACGGCCTTACGTTACGTTTGACGTTAATTAATGCGTTATTCTTCATTCAATATTAACTAAAAATTATATATACTGTAATTAACAGGGTGCCCTGTGTGAAGAAAGGAGGAATAAGGTTCACCATCAACGGTCACTCCTACTTTAACCTGGTCCTCATCACCAATGTTGCAGGCGCAGGAGATGTCCATGCAGTTTCAATCAAGGGGTCTAAAACAGGATGGCAACCCATGTCAAGGAACTGGGGCCAGAACTGGCAGAGCAACTCCTACCTCAACGGCCAAACCCTGTCCTTCCAGGTCACCGCCAGCGATGGCAGGACAATTACCAGCAACAACGTGGCGCCCGCCCACTGGCAGTTCGGGCAGACATTTGAGGGTGCTCAGTTCTTCTAGATCGATGGATGTTATAAGCAAATTAATAATTAGACAGAGGCAATATAAAACGAGAACAGAGCCTCCGTGTGCTTGTCTATTGCTGAGGTGGTTTGTCGGCACCCGCTAGGCCCAATTTTTACCATATATCCGTGTGTCTATATGTGTGCTTATGTATATATATATACTTTGATTTCTGCTTGCTACTAGCTCCTAGTTGCCGGCTCTTTTTCTGTTCAGTTTTAGCGGAACTAGCACCTGGTCTAGTATTAAACAAGGAATGAATACATATTCCATTATTGCTTCCTTTTTCATGGTGCTAGTTTAATTCATAGGATGAAACTGGCCTTTGATCTAATGATTGTTTATAAGTTTTAATACTAGAATTGAATTGAGTTGATTGAAAGTTTGACTTTCATTAATTATTTAAATATTTATATTTAATTTTATCAACTTTAAGTAATTTTTTCAACCACATACATTGACAAATTTTTTTTTATTTTATCTTATAATTATCTTGTTACTTTTGCATATAATTATCATTGTTAAAAAAAATAAAAAAATCATAGAATGAATACTATTACTTGATTAAAAATTTAAAAGAAATGCGTTTTTCTTTCTCTAAATTTGTAATGATTATATTGGCACAAATTGAAACTTGTGAAAATTCCATCATTAATTATAAGTGAAATAAAGAATGCATCTTTAACAGCAGTGACCGTGAGGTAGTTGCAAATTGTTCGAATTTTACCTTGTTCAACTCTGTTGTACTTGCTTTTAAAAATATATATATATATATTAGAGAATTAATTATTTAATAATTTAAAATTTAAAAATTTTTAACTTTGAATTTAAATAAAAAAAATTTAAATTAATATATATTAACTCGGTAAAGGTTCCTTTTTTTTTTTTTTTTGATAAAAGGTTACTTGCTCTCTTTGGTTTTGACTTTGACCATGAGGCAGGGGTAGGTTAAAGGTCTCAAAAAAGTTTAGGGATTTAAATGTTTTATTCATATAACTATAGGGACTTAATTGTCCCAAAAAATAAAACACAATTCTTATAAATAAATAAAAAATGTACTTTTTTGGGGGCGGTGGGAACGGGGGTGGAGTGTTCGGGAATTACGTTACACCACCAGAAAAGCGAACAGAGACGAGGGCAGAATTGGTTTTAAGTGGAATCAGGCTATCAGCATTTGTGAATGTCAAGCATCAACATTTGGTGTAGAGCCATCCGATTCCGATTACCAGGCCTCCGAGGAACTACTTCCAGTTCCAGTATCATCTGTGTCCGTACTGGGTTTGGTACCTTCTCCTCCAACCACTATCACTCGATTCACTCCACAACTCTAAAAAAGATACTTCCTTTTCTGGTGGTGCGTGGTGGGTTTTTTACCATGTCATCTTCTTCAGACGCCCGTTTCAACTTGTCTGATACCGCTGCTCTCCAAATCAAGAAAGGGGACATCACCCAGTGGTTCGTAGACGGCACCTCGGATGCTATTGTAAGTGTTTTGCTCTGCTCTCTACAAAATTGGGTTTTTATGGTATTTGCTGATGGTTGATTTCTTCGCTTTTTCATTGCTTAATCTCATCCTAAACTTTTCATTTCTATACAGTTATCTATGCTTAGGACAGGAATTGGGTTTTGAATCTGGGAGCTAAAAGTTTCTACTAATTTCCCAACCTTAATATATTAAGCATTTTTAATTGCCCCCTGTTGGTGCTACAACTTGAATTGAATTCTCCAGTACAACGATGAAGGAAGGAAGGAAGGAAGGAAGGAAGAAAGGGTGTATTATTCAGAAAATTTAATTTATTATTTTGTTTTTCCATACTTCCATTGCTATATACAACTACAAAGAGCATGCAGTGTGTTCTATTGTTTCAAGTTGAGGTGAAATTTTCAAACTCTTCCTGCCTGTTGGATATGGTTATGTTATGCTTTCTTTATAGAATAGAATGGTTATGATGCTCTCCCTTTCTTCTTCGGCATGAGATGCTTTGTTTAGCCATTAATTCCTGGCAAGAATTCTTGGTGGCATGATCTTTTACTGACTAAATTTGGTGTGGTTACTTAATAATTATATTTCTTTTTGCAGGTTAATCCAGCAAATGAGCGTATGCTTGGAGGCGGTGGTGCAGATGGGGGTAGTCTTACCCAATATATATATATATATAGATATATTTTTTGTCTTTCACTCAAACCATATATATATGTCACTAGAACTACTAATGACTTTTTATTTATTTCCTTTAGCCATTCATAGGGCAGCTGGTCCAGAACTCCTAGAAGCATGCTACAAAGTGCCAGAAGTTCGACCTGGAATCCGTTGCCCTACAGGAGAAGCAAGGATTACCCCGTAGGTTCTTCCTACTTGAACAATGTTTATTACTGGACTAATTAGTTTACTAACATGTTGAAAACGTACAGTGGTTTTAAACTGCCTGCCTCACATGTTATTCACACTGTTGGTCCTATCTACAATGGGGACAGTAACCCTGCAGCCTCTCTGAAAAGCGCATACAAGTATTTTTCAGCTTTTCTTTGTTTAACACCATCTCTATTAATATTTCATTTATCATTGCAAATAAGACCAATCTTCTCTAGCTAAATTGGTTACAGGAACAGCTTGGGGGTGGCTAAGGAAAATAACATTAAATATATTGCATTCCCTGCAATATCTTGTGGTGTGTTTGGGTATGTTGATACTAAAATGCCTTCTTTAGGAGTTTAGGATAACAACTTCCTTGTACAAAGTTCAGAGAATTGATTTATAAAATGAAATCTAATTGTAATCACAAATTTTGTATTTTAATGTGATCCTTTTATTTAACTTTTTCTTTCTAAAATTCTTTCAGATATCCTTTTGAGGAAGCTGCCACAGTTGCCATATCTACAGTCAAAGAATTTGCAGATGATTTGAAAGAGGTAGAGAAAGAAGAACTTATTTTACATATGAAGATAAGGAGGTCAACTTGCTAAAGTATTGATATATTCTCATTTTGATATAAATGACTGCTTTTCAGGTACACTTTGTTCTTTTCTCGGATGACATCTATAATGTTTGGTTGAACAAGGCGAAGGAGTTGCTTCAAGCTTAATGTAAGATAGTGGCTAGAGTTAAAAAGTTGTGCTGCTTTCATCTTTGAGAGTGAACTTATATCTTTGAGTTGACTTGGTAGTATTTTTCCTATAATTATGTAACTCCATATTTAAGACCATGGACATAATGTATGCTTTTCTTGTGGAATAATTGTTTGCCTGTTGATTTGTGTTAATGCCTTTGCGACATCCTATTTCTCATACTCTGGATCATAACAGAACAAATTTATATATAAATAATCAAAAAAAGCATGAGGTGTGTAACAGCAAATATTATTATGTGTAATAATCTGATTCCTTCTCTTTTTATGTTTCGCTCATCATTCTTTTTTGTAGACCCTGCTAGGCAAATGTTCGTGCATCTTTGGACATTGGTCCAACTTCATGCACAGTGCTAATAAATTCAGAAGAATTTACTTGTGGAAGATAAGAAATCAGTGATTTTTGCATTTCAATTAGACCCGGCAAAAATCCACTTGACCTACCAACTCCACCCTAACCCGATCCGTAAAAATGGGTTAAGATATACATATTTTAACTCACAACCCGTAGATAACCCGGATTATCAACCCGTGTGGGTCATGGGTTGGGTTAGGGTCAACCCGTAGGTTAACGGGTTGACCTGTTTGTTTTATTTATTATTATTATTTTTAAATATTATATTTATTATTCTTCATTAATTTTCCTATTGGTAACTTCTTTCATTAGTTCATACTTCTTAATTTCTAGAGAAAGACAAAGAAATTATGATGAGTTTGATCTAATTATCCAAGTTTTTTTTTTTTTTTTTTTTGGTATTAACAATTACCCAAGCATCATGAATGAAATGATAATGCAACTAAAAATATTAAAAGATATGATACTAGGACATAAGCATAATAACTTAGTGAAAGATGTTCTTGGAAGAGCAATTTCATCAGTAAAAAATAGCTTAAACTACTTGATAATGTTTGAAGATGATTATAAAATTAAAACTTTATTTTTTAAGAAATTTACATATTTTATGTTTAATATTATTATTGTTAATCAACTTATTATTGTTTATAACTTTATGATTTTTTTCTTAATTTAATTATTTATGGTTGAAACTATAAAGTACTTAGTTTTAATGAATTACAATACGTTAATTAAATTTAGATATATATAATTTTATTGTATATAATAAAATTAATAAAAAATAATTATAAAAAATAAAAATAAAATTGACCCGCGGATTAATTTCGTAACCTGTTAGGGTCGGATTATGGTTAGACTTTTTCAACTCACAACCCGTTCATAACTCAATCTATATAATCTGTCACCCGAGTTGACCCAATCCGAAGCCGACCCAATCCGCCCGTTTGCCAAGTCCAATTTCAATGATATTTGGTACAAATAAGAACCCATAGAATCATAAGGGTGAAGCTGGATTTATGTTTCCTTTGGAAGATTAAGTCAGATTTTTAGTTTCACATGTCTATATGCTTCCTAATTTTCTGCACAGAGAGGTTGGTAAGGGGATATATGCCTTTTGATGGATTTGAAAAATTAGTTGGATGCTTGTCTGAGATTTCTGGTCCAGCTTTCCTTCATTGCTCCTATGATGCTTGTGGTTTTATATGGATGGTGATATCCTACTACGATGGTGGTTTGGGTGATGGTTGATAAATGTCAGTTACCGCTGGGAGGATTATGAAACTTTGGATACTCGATGATTGGATTAGGCAGTTGGCTATGGGTACTTAACCATCACTCTCAAGTCTTCTCTATGTGCTGCCTATGCAGGAGGTTCTGCTTTCTTCTTCTGCAATCAGATGCTAACGCAGAGTTAGGCCATGGAATGGTCCCCTCGCTTAGAAGGAAAGATTTCTCGAGCACAGTGGTTGTGGACCAAGCGCCACCTTCCTCTCAGTTTTTAACTTTATCCCGCTTCTTACTTTAACATCAGTTTCCATTTCGTTTTTCAGTGAGATTGTGGTGCTGGCTTTATAGAGAACTTGTAATGCTCTCATAATTTGCAATGAAAGCTAAATTTTTAGTTGGCCAAAAAAAAAAAAAAAAAAAAAAACCAAACTCATGGAATCTAGTTATTTCTCTTATATTATTTGACATCCAAAAATCCAGTGAGGGAACATCATGTTAGTGTGTTACATGATTCCTCAAGCAATTTCGTTCCTTCTACTGGATCATCTTGCATCATTCCTCTCTCCAACTAGTAAATTTTATGTACTTAGTTTAAACCACCAAGGATCTTCAAGAATTAAGAACAGAATAGAAGACTTGATAAGCCAAACATCAAATTTGAGCATCCGCAAGCGCAAGTTTATTTGCTCTCCGTCCTGATGACAAAGCAACACTTCTAGAGTAGATAGCCCATCTGCAATGGAGCAATGGTTCATGGCCCTGAGACAAGTTGAAGGTGAAACAACAAGATGATATCAGAATGGAGTACTATACTCATTAATCATCTTTGATGTCTGATAAACTCCGTGGGATTCTACTAATAACACTCTCATCCACGATCTTGTAGTGCTGGGATAATTTTTGGTGGATCAGCCCACAATATTTATCCACGTGCTCCTCATATTTGCTGTACAAGGCTGGAACTGTAATGGATACGATGGTTCCTGTAATAGGTAAACAGAAATTATATATGTTAGTAATACACAATCAAAAATAGCTTTGCCTCATGCAAAAATGTAAATTATCAAGATGGATTTTACGTAGCAAACTAAATTGCAGATAACATATCTAGAAAAAGTCAAGGCAATGACAGATGTGAGTTTCCTATCAGGCTTTTCAAAATTTTCAAAACACAAATGCTTGTGGTAACGTACATACCTTCCCTTTTACTACTACAAGGATAACCACTTGAGGTTGTAACAAAATAAATTATTTTAATTGTGTTCCAATATTTTATGTGAAACAAACAAAAAACAATCACAATAAATATCAATAAACAAGATGGAGGATAAATGTGCATTCAGTTTACAAACAAAGAATGAAACTTTTTTTTACCTATGTAGGCAAGTGTGAAGAAAGAATAGTAGCTACCAATCGCAGACAAGAGCCACAGACAAACCACGACCTACCAAATAAACAGTATCAGAAAAATTTTAGCAAGCAAAGAACAAGCCAGGTTTGCTAAGATTGCAAGAGTGAGAAAGACACACAAGGCAACGGCACAACCTAGAACACAATGAATATGATGGCTTGTAGCCTTGTGATCCAGAATTTTTATGAGAATGAGAAAATCTAAACCTACATGTAGGTAACAAACTGATTGAATTTAGAATGAAGTAAAGAGTAGTATGCCTAAGACATGCATCATCGGTCATCATTTAAGGGCAATAGGATCCTAGCATGAAGTTAGACTGATGACATCACTACCCCAACCAAGTCAAATCTAGCCAAGATGGGATCAAGTTTCTAATTAAGGCATTAATGCTGATATTTCTTTCGATTGGTAAAACTAATGAATGTCCTTACTTTTAGTACACACAGATGTATCAACTAAATTGTAGTTAAGACTATCATGCCTTACTAAGATCAAAACACCTTCAAGTGCATAACATTCATTACAGCTGTTATTTTGGTAGTGGTTCTTCTTTTTGTTGTTCTGAGTGCATGTATGTGTTCTTAAACCTTTGCAAACTAGTATAAACTAACCTTGAAAAAAAGTCTAAAATCTTTTCCAAGAGTAATATCATGAGCCATAAGCAGCACGTTATTGATTTTAACACGAAATGATGCTGCAGCATTATTAACCATCTCCTCCGACAATTCAAGCTCTGGTAATGGTCTTAATTGTCTGCTTAAGTAAAAAACAGAAATGAAGAAAAATAATAATAATAATCCACAATCAAGACAAAAAGTAACATCTGTTGGGGGTAATATTAGACGACATACCTATCTCTAAAAGCAGCATAGTTGGCATGGATAAACAATAATACGATTAAAATCAGCAAGATGTCTGAACAAATCAATAAGAATGGTAATCCAGAGTACTCAAATGCTAACCAAGCAACTGTTGCAACAACAATGATGCCAAAAGAAACACTTCGGTGCTTCCACAACAGTATGTCAGCCACTATGAAAAGTAGGAGCAAAGTTAGTCATATGTCCTCACAAAACACTAACGAATATAGTAAATGATTGCATGACATGGAGAAATGGAATTTCATGAAGCAGTAGCAGTAGTCTGTTAGTTAAAGAAAGGGAGAATCCCACTTCCCAAACAATATCTATTTTGTTGTTTCACCAAAAAATGTATGATTACTCAAGAAACCCC